TTTCTGCAAGTAAAGAGAATAATAGGGACAATGAAACTTTGAGGAATCACTGAGTGGGGTAGGGGTTTTGATGTGCAGCTGCTATCCTAGCTAAAAAGGTTAGAGGAGACTGGTCTAGAGGACAGTTGAGCTCCATGTTTTTTTGGGCCACCTCATTCATCATCTGAAGCTGGTTGATAGAAATAAAAAAACAGGGACTAATGTTGTGTTCTAAATCAATGTTTCCCATATCCCTTAATGTCTTTTGTTATCTATGGAATGTGAATCACATTAATTCATGCTGTCATATTTCATGTTTTGGGGAAAATTGATGTAGTAAAGAAGTGAAGTTGTATAAAATTAAGTTTTAGAATAAAGAAGTTTTTAAATTTCAGGAATGATTATCCCTTGTGATGCTCCAGTAAGAAAATTCTCCCATAAATCATTCTATAAGAATGATTGAATTATATATTTTTCAGTAACAATGACACCTCAAGATAGAGGCAAATTTTATTTACATATAGAGCAATAATTTCTCATGAGAGCTGGCAACATGTCACCTATGTGTTAATTAGGTTCTTTTTTATAAATATATTATTGTTTTCTCTTCTAGGTCTACAATAATTTCCCTGCTCTCATTGATTATCTGCCAGGGAGTCATCACATTTTATCCAAAAATATTGATTATATGATAAATTATATATTGGAGAAAGTAAAAGAACATGAAGAATCCCTGGATGTTAATGATCCTCGAGACTTCATTGACTGTTTCCTGATAAAAATGGCTCAGGTACAATGTTGCCATCAGCCTAGTTTTTTGATTCCTTGATTATGTTGTGGTTTTCTGAACCCTTTTACATTTGTAGAAATGTTACATGATCAGGACAATAGTGATTCTGAAGCACTTTGATGACTCAGTGTATCATGAATCTCCAGGAAGCATCATGGAAAACATGCAATTATTAAATAATTGGAATATGCTGACTCTGTTCTTTAGATAAAAATCTATGTGAGGAGAAAGAATGCACACCTAGGTTTTTGAGAGTGTTAATAAATACACAAATTGTCAGTTAGACTGACTCAAAGAAAGAAGAGATGACACAAATTAATAATGAAACAAAAGGAAGGATGTGGCTGCCGAAGAGAGAATTTCCAGTCAAGCTATAACATATAAAATACCATGCCATGACATGAGGATGGAGTTCATCACTGCACAGGTTTGGGGACATGGAAAGGATCAGCTTACAGGTACACCACCTGCATGTCCTGTGGACTGAAGCAGACCTTGACATGTGCATCGTGGAATGCAGAGCAAATTGCAGATGGGTTGAGTCTTGTAGGTGGTGGTGTGGGCAAGAGTAGGTGCAGAGACGAGAGAGGCCTTGTTGAATGCAGCTTTAAATGAAGTCACATAGAACACAGAGTTAGAGATGGTGTCTGTCAGGGACCCTGCAAGCAGGAATGTGTTGTCACTGCAGCATGAGTTAAAAGGTTATTTATTCCCATTGAATTTCGTTGGCACCCTGTCAACGATCAGTTGTCTATAAATGTGAGGCTTTGTATGTGGACTTTCATGCTGCTCCATGATGGATATGTCCACCCTATGCCAGGAGGTTCACCATCCTGACATCTTGTCCCCTTCAGTATTTCTGTGTTTCATGTTTTGAAATAGGAATGTGAGTTCTCCAACTGTGTTGTTGGTGTTCAGGACTTTTAGGCAATTCTAGGTTCCTTGAATTTCCATATCAATTTCAAGATGAGATTGTCAGTTTCACCAAAAACCAGTGTGGAATTCTGACATGAATTGTAATAAATTTGTGTTTCATCATTGTCATTTAGAAAATATAGATGAAATTAACATACCATACAGTGAACTTTCTTGAAGTTAACTTTATTGGTATTTATGGCTTTTCTGTGTTCTGTGATTGTATCTGTATCCAGTTTTCAAAACCTATTCATTTTTTATCAAATGTATATGCATCATCAAATGAACACACCACTCTTCCACATCCCTGCACTCTGATTTCTGTCTGCATGGATCTGCCTATCATGGATAAATAATGAAAGACCTTGTGGCACATGCAAACTTTTGTTTCTGGCTTATTTTATTCTATAGAATGCATTGGAGACTCATCTAAGTTGTAGCAAGTATCACCATTTTGCTCTTTTGTGTGGCTGAGTGCTTGTTTTTTTTACTAGTGTCCATACTATGATTAAAATTTTTGATAGAATTCACCAGTATATCACAAAAATCCACCTTTCTCTTGGGAGGATTTTGATTACAAATTGTCTATGTTAAGTTGTTGCAGTTGATCACATTTTGCATACTGACCTTGAATCAGTGTTTGTAATTTGTGTTTCTATTAAATTTTTCTGTTTTTCAGATTTCTTATTTGCTGTTGCACAGTAATTTAAGGTAATCTCTTGTTGCCATATTTATTTGTGTAAAATCAGTAGTTTCCTGCTATCATGTCTGAATTTAGTGGTTGGTGTCTTCTCTTTATTTGTGCTTAGTCCAGCTAATAATTTGGGACATTTGCCTACAGTTTCTGAGAAGCAGTATTTGGTTTGAGTGAGTGTTCAGCTGTTTTCCCACTCTGTTTTTCATTTCTTTGGGCTTTCCATTCATCCTGCTCTTATCTTCCTAGTCCCAGGTTGAGAAGTTACATTGTACTTGAGCTCTTGTCTTCCCTTTCATTGTAAGTTCTGCCCCTCTAAGTTTCCCACTAAGAATTGTTTTTTTGCTTCGTGCCAGTGTTTTGTTGTGTTGTATTTTGTTTCCTTTGCATCTCAGTCCTATCTAGTTGTCCTAGTGATTCCCTACTTAATCCATTAGTTGTAGAATAGCATATTGTGTAATGGAAGATTTCTCTTCTCTCCTTGAATTCTAGTTGCATTCTATTGTGATTATGGAAGATCCTTTCTATGATTTTGTGTTTTTAAAATTTATCGAGAATTGTGTATGTCCCACCACCAGGACTTTCCTGGAGAATAGAAGGGTTTATGTTCTCTTGAGAAGAATGCATATTCTTCTAGTTTCTCTCATTTGTCAATGTTTACCTCATACATGTTGAGCTCTATTGATGGATGGATATGCATGTGCACAATAGCATTACATATTTTTAATAATGTCTTAACTGATCAACATTTTTCTATTGAAACTTTTAAATTTCCTCTCTTTTTCTTTGTTTCTAATTTTTTTCTTATTATTTACCATGTGGTTTTTTCTTAACATAGTCAATGTTAATAGTCCAGGTTGAGTTAATTCTAAGCTTCAAATTGCATAGAGATAGTCTACTCCCATGCAAACTCATCTCTTTTTTCTTGTTATTGGTCACAATCTATATCTTAAATATGTTCCCAGTTTTTTAAAAAAAAGAGTTGTTTATTTTGCATATTTCTTTATTATAGAAATTCAAAGAACTACATAGACATCAAAGAGTATCGGAGCATATTTTCTATTAAACCATGTAGTTATTATTAATAATGTTAATTATTTCTTAATATGGCCTTGGTTTATTATCTAATGTTCTTTTGCTTTTTATTTTCTCCCATATTTTATTGTTGCATAATGTTGTATTTAATGGTGGGATTCATTTTTTCATATATGCACATGCACACAGTATAACATTATGATTTGGCCAATAACATTCCCCAGTATTTCCCCTTTTCCTCCCCTCTTCCCTCCCCATGATCACTTTCCTCTACTCTACTGATATCTCTTCCATTTTCATGAGATCCCACCATAACATGTTTTCCTTTTTCCATGTAGCTTTCACATATGACTGAAAACACATGACACTCAATTCTCTGATGCTGTATATGAGAATAGCAATTTCTGCATGTTTCAGGCTCTATTTACATGGTATTTCCATCTTTTTACATTCAGCCTGTGAATGTCTTTGCCTATAATTGGAGTCTCTTGCAAATCATATATAATTTGATATTTTTTAAAAAATCCATTCTGGCATCCTATGTGTTTTAATTAGGGGAGTTGAGACCATTTACATTGAATATTATTGTATAGAGTTGATTATTCATTGCTGGAATTTTGCTTTATTTATAATGTTTAATTTGGTTCTTTTCCACATTTGCTTAGCATATCTTCAAATGAAATTTATTCTTTTGTGAGACTTGGATTTTTTTGTATAGTATTTCTTTCTGTATTTTCACTAGTAACAGCTTAGTAGTCA